CCAAAATGACATCGTTTTAGGGTGCTTATAAAAGGCTTATTTCAGCTTTTTTCTTTATTTTTTTCTTTCTTCTCTTTCTCTATCCCAGAACCTCTCTCTCTAAAATTTGAGCACCCCTAGCTGACCATCGTAAAACCCAATTTTCGGCTAGTGCCGTCGTGCACTAGTGGTCAAAAACTTTAACCGACATCGAAAAATTCAAAAATTTCAAGATTCTGACGATGAACTCAGATTTCAATCACCAAAAAATTCAAACGATAGCAAAAAAAATCAAAATTTTTCAGATTCCAGTTACCCAAAAAAAATCCAAAAATTTTTTAAAAAATTCCCTAGTGATCCTTTCACTTTCTAAACACCTTTTCAAGCCCATATTTTTCAAAAAAAAGTCTACAACTTTCTAGATCGAGAATTTCATTCTAAAAATAAAAAAAAATTTAGAGTGTTTACTATTGGTTTTTTTTATTATGTGTTCCCCCCCTTTTTTTTTCTTTATGTCCTCGTTCCTTACAGAGATTAGCTCTATTTATAGAGCTTCTAAAATTTAAGATCCCAGATCTTTTAAGATCTTTTTGTGAAAAATTTAGGTGTCTATTCAGTGACTTTTGGTCACTAGATTTTATGCTACCATGTTAGGTAGTATCAGGAAGAAAAATGAACCTTTTGGCAACTTGATTTCAACTGTTAGAGTTGAAATCAAAGATTTTTTTGACTTTTTTTAAAAGATTAATAATAATAATAATAATAATAATAATAAAAGAATAAAATTGGTGCCTACACAATCGACTGTTAAGGATGTTCCTAATTTAGTGTTTGAGGTATCCAAAAAATAGTTACCACATCGCCACACTAAAGGTATTCCTAATCCTACATATGAACTTGAACTTTCTAGTAAAGTTAAATATTCCATGAGTAATTATGTGTCTAACCATCATTTATTAGAATCAAATCAGTCATTTGTAAATAAATTATCTACAATTGCTATTCCTAATAGTGTGCATGATGCCTTAGTTGCTATGAACGTGGAGATGAAATCTTTACCAAAAAAAAAAAATGAAATGTAAGAGTCAATGGATTTATATTGTGAAGTACAAAGCAGATGGTATGATTGAACGTTTTAAAACAAGACTAGTAGCAAAATAGTACACTTAAACTTATAGGCTTTACTACACAAAAACATTTCAGGTATTGTTTTTTGTAGCTGCAAACTTGGATTGGCTGTTACAACAATTCAACTTGGATTGGCTGTTACAACAATTCAACATGAAAAATGCCTTTCTACATAGTGATTATCTAAAAAACTCTATATGAATCTCCCATCAGGATGTATAGCCATAGGAAGGTTTAGTCAGAAAGTGTGTAAATTGAAAAAGTCATTGTATGGGTTGAATCAATCTTTAAAAGCATGGTTTTAAAGATTCGCAAAGTTAATGATAGCTTTTTCCTACCATCAAAGCAACTCAGATCACATTTTGTTCCTAAAAAAACAATAATGTAAGATTACTACACTCATTGTATATGTAGATGATAATCATAAGAAATGATCTTGAAGAAAGAAAAACTTTACAGAATTACTTACTAGAGAATTTGAAATGAAAGATCTAGGTACTCTAAAATATTTTCTTGGGATTGAAGTTTCTCAATCAGATGCTGAAATCTTTTTATCTAAAAAAAAATGCCTTAGATCTTTTATAAAGGCTTGAATGGCAGGATGCCATCTATGCACTAATAGAAGAAGGTTTGAAATTGTGTGCTGAGACTAATAAAGTACCTACTGATAAAAGGAGATACTAAAGACTTGTAGGGAGATTGATGTACTTAACTCACTCAAGGCCAAATCTTGCTTATGTATTAGGTGTTGTTAGTCAATACATGCATTATCCTGGAGAATAACATATGAATGCAGTTATATGCATTTTTAGGTATCTAAAGTCTACTCTTTGAGAAGGAATCTTGTTCACAAAAAACACAGATTATCAAAGCATAGATGTATATACTAATGCTGACTAGGCTAGAGTAATAGATGACAAGCGATCTACTTTAGGTTAATTTACCTTTATAGGTGGCAATCTTGTTACATGGAAAAGCAAGAAACAAAATGTTGTTGCACCCTCATGCACAGAAGCTAAATTTAGAGGTATGGCACTTGACCTTTGTGAAGCATTATGGCTAAAAGCATCTCATGAAAGATTTAGGTCATCAATCTAGGCAAACAATTCAGCTATATTATGACAATAAAACCGCATGTGACATTGCCCATAATTTGATTCAACATGATCGTACAAAGCATGTCAAGGTGGATAGATTCTTTATTAAAAAGAACTTAGATGGGAAAATTTTTGAGTTGCCTAAGATTTGGTAAGAGGATCATTTAGCTGACATTCTTACCAAAACAGTCTCAAATTGGGTGTTCTCTAGATATTTAGACAGCTTGGGCAAGTGCGACTTTTATGCACCAACTTGAGGGGAAGTGCTGAGATTTCCTTGATTGATTGATAATTATGTATTTTAGATAATTAGGTAATTTCCCTTTCTATCTCTTTATTATTATAGATTATTTGCTAAGCTATAGATATGTCAATCGATTATTAGTATGACTTGAATTTGGGAAATTCATCTTTATAAATTTATTGTACATTTCATTACAAGATATATGAAAATAGTTGAATATTTCCTTTTTTTTTAAGTAATTATTTTAACATCTTTATCAGTTGGTACCTTGCATTACAAAATTTGTCTTATTAAAAAATACAAAAAAAAATGCAAGGTAAAAAAGCTTAAATTGGATGCCATGTAGACACATCTTTTTTTTTTGCAAAATTACTTTTATTAAAAAGACAAAATAGAAAAGGAACAATCAAGAAAAAAGTGAAAGTAAATAAAATAAAAAAAAAAAGAAAAGAATGCTAGTTGAGATATTACATGGATATGACAATTGAGTGAGGATTTATCGAATACATTATTTTGTCATTGCTATGAATTAACTTTTTTGTTACAAAATTTAACTGATAAAAAATTAAAAAAAATATATATTAGGGTGTCACTTGGGCATTTATATTATTTTTTCACAAAATTTACCTAAACAAAAAGAATAAAAATCTATAAAAATTTGAAGGAAGAAAAAAGAAGAAAAAAAAAAGAGATGGCATGTTGAGACTTCGAATGAGAGTAAAAAATAAAATAAATCAAAATTATATAATAGATAGGCCCATATATAAGAAATTTTAACATTATTTTTTAAAAAATAATTAACATTTTTAAAAAAGAAAAAAGGAATAGTAAATAGCAAAAAAAAAAAAAGCAAAAGCAAAAAAAAGTTATAATGACTTAACACATGGCACTAAAAAATCAAAATTAAAAAAAAAGTATTTATTAAATATAAAAAAATTTTAGAAAAACAAACAAATGACATGGCATTGGTATCAAGTGAGTGTAAAAAAAAAATAAAGAAAATCTTTATTAAATTTTTTTAAAAGGAAAAAATTAAAAAAGGTAAACAAAAAAGTAAAAACAATTTGATATAAGTGGATCTCATGCATGAAAAACAAAATCTAAAAAAAGGGTAAAAAAGCAAAAAAGAAAGTTTAGTTTAAATGAGTCCCACATATAAAAAATAAAATATTTTAAAATATTTTTTAAAATTTTAGAAAATATTTATTAAATATTTTTTTAAAAAAAGAAATGTAAAAAAGAAAAAAAAAAGAAAGTTTGTTATAAGTGAGTGTGGCACATAAAAAAATCTTTTTAAAAAATATATTTTTATAAGTTTAAAATATCTAAAGAAACTCTTTATTAAATATTTTCAAAAAATGTTAAAAAGGGTAAAAAATAAAAAATTGATATAAGTGAAGTCCCACATACAAAAAAATAAAATGTTTAAAAATATATAAATTATATTTATAAAATATTATTAAATATTTTTTTTTACAAAAAAAAAGAGTCATAAAGGATAAAAAAAGAAAAGTAAAAAAAAAAAGAAAATTTGATATAAGTGAGTTTCACACATAAAAAAAAATTTATAAAATTTTTTATATTATTTATAACTTTTAAAAATATTAACTAAATGTTTTTTGAAAAAGAAAAACAATAGAAATGGTAAAAAAAAAAAGCAAAAAAAAAATTTAGTGTAAGCAAATATCACACGTAAAAAAAATAAAACTTTAAAAATATATATATCTTTATAATTTTTTAAAATATTTATTAAATATTTTTTAAAAAGTAGAAAAGATAGAGAATGACATTTGATGGATTAAGGACTATCATTAATAAAATAATTATATTTTTTTATGAGTTGATGATTTATTTTAATTTTAAAAATAAAATAATTTATTTGACTATTAAATTTTATAAAAAAAAAAAGTAAACGCAATCGCATTTACTTTTCCAATTGTCGGTAGTGTTTTCATTGTACATAAGCATAAATACAAAAGCTGGTTTCTCAGGTGAATACTGACTCGACAGTCCATTAGTGTATCAATGTGTGAGAACATAACTGTGCCATTGTCTTAATTTTGTCCTTTTGAGTGTGAACACTCAGACGACCCATTCAAAGATTTTTTTTTTTTGGTAAATAAAATATGAGAGCAGGTAAGTTATTCCAATTCTTCGGACCGAGTTAAAGATAAGGGTCAATGAAATATGACCGGAGAAATTCGAATCCAAGTATTTTATAATGAGGAGACCGACCACAAGACAAGTTCAATCAGGAAAGTTCTGGATTCTTACGGTGGGATGTCATTCGCAGAGTCGAAACGAAATTACGTTTGGTGGCCTATCAGTCATGCGAATTTTTGTTTTTAAGCTTTGAATTTTTAATTTCAAATTCAAATACTAATCATATCAAATATGAACAAAAAATTATAGTAGGTGATTATTGTACACGTCGTTCCATGTGATTTTCTTCGTTCTTTCTTTTTTTTTTTTTATATATTAAAAAAATGGAATTTCAGTTTAAATACTTGGACCTTGGCCATTAAAAGGCACACTCAATTCCTGATTCATGAAAGTAGCTAGGTTAAGATTTAAGAATGTGTAACTCGATTATTGTTATATTGTTTGTCCTTTTGAAACTTGCATCTTCAAACACTGTTCCAGATGAATTCAGTTTCAATGGCTGCTTAAAGCTAGATGGTTTAGCAGAGGCTGATCCAAATGGGCTATTGACATTGACCACAGGCTTAGGACGTGGAGTTGCCCATGTCTTCTTCAACCTTCCTCTCCAATTCAAGAACTCCACTGCCGGTAGCATTTCCTCCTTCTCCACCACCTTTGTTTTTGCAATGGTCCCTGAGTACCCAAAACTCGGTGGCCATGGACTTGCCTTTGTAATCTCCCCATCTAAAGATATTCCTGGAGCTTTACCCTGTCAATATCTTGGTCTCTTTAATGATACTAATATCGGCAACAGTTCGAATCATATCATAGCGGTTGAGCTTGACACGGTTCAGGACTTCGAGTTCGATGACAGGGACGATAACCATGTTGGCATCGATATTAATACCTTGATATCAAACATATCAAAGACTGCTGGTTATTTTGACGATCAAACCGGCACTTTTCATGAACTCTATCTTAAAAGTGGAGATCCAATGCAGATATGGATAGAATATAATGGAACGAAGGAACAACTTAATGTCACAATTCATCCAGTTGGGGAGACTAGACCCATTCGTCCCCTCTTATCTATGACATTCGATCTTTCTCCATATATCCTCGACTTCATGTATGTTGGCTTCTCGTCCGCTACAGGTTTACTTGCATCATCTCAATACATATTGGGGTGGAATTTCAAAATGGATGGTCAAGCGCAAGACCTTGAAATATCCAAGCTTCCAAAGATCCCTCAATCCTTGGGAGAAAAAAAGGGGTCCAAAAAATTATTGCAAATAATTTTGGGAGTTACATTGTCTGTAGCAGGACTCACTCTGATCTCGCTTGTTGTTTTGGGTGCTCTGTTCGTTTCACGTAAGAAGAAATTCATGGAAATACTTGAGGATTGGGAGGTCCAGTACGGCCCACACAGGTTCACCTACAAGGATCTATTCGTTGCAACAAAGGGCTTCAAGGAAAACGAGTTGCTCGGGAGCGGAGGATTTGGGCGAGTATACCGGGGCACATTGCCGTCATCAAACACAAAAATTGCTGTGAAAAGAATTTCTCATGATTCGAGGCAAGGAATGAGGGAATTTCTAGCTGAAATCTCAACTATTGGGCGCCTTAGGCACCCAAACTTGGTTCGACTCCTTGGCTATTGCAGGCGCCATCATGAATTGTTTTTGGTTTATGACTACATGCCAAATGGAAGTCTAGAAAAGTGCCTATCTAACAAATCCAATTGCACACTAGATTGGTCACAAAGATTTAAAATCATCAAGGATGTAGCATCTGGACTTTTCTACTTGCACCAGCAGTGGGTGCAAGTAGTTATTCACAGGGATATCAAGCCGGCTAATGTGCTATTAGATAACGATATGAATGGTAAATTGGGAGATTTTGGGCTTGCCAGATTTTGTGATCATGGAAATGACCCTCAAACATCAAATATAGCAGGTACCCTTGGGTACATAGCACCTGAACTTGCACGAACAGGAAGAGCAAATACAAGCACTGATCTGTACGCGTTTGGGATATTTATGCTTGAAGTTGTTTGTGGTAGACGGCTAATTGAGCCACGAAGTCAACTCCAAGATCAACAATTTCTTGTCGATTGGATTCTAGAGTGTTGGGATAGAGGAACAATCTTAGATACTGTTGATAGCAAATTAGAAAATAGATACGTAGCCCAAGAAGTTGAGTTGGTGTTGAAACTTGGCTTGCTTTGCTCGCATCCATGTGCCGCGGCTAGGCCTAGCATGTCCAGCGTGGTGCAATATCTGGATGGCATAGCTCAGTTGCCAGATACCATTCGTGCTTCAATTATTCAAGCTCATACTTCGATGGAAAATTCTAATCAGCCAAGTGTAGCGCCTGATGTGTCAACTGAAAGATACTCCAACCCTTCATTGACATTTACAGAATCATTTGCCTCTCATGGCCGTTAAGACTGTGGCCTTGGGTAAATGGAAGTTGTACTTTGAGCTATTAGATGGTTATCATGTTTTCAAATATTTTATAAACTTTTCTTTTAAATACCACAAAGCAAGAAAACCAGTACAACTCCAAAGATTAAAAACGAAAAAGAAAGCAAAATACGAAAATGAACAAGACACAAACATCAAACAACAAAAAACATAAAAAAGAAGGAAGAAGAAGAATAAACCACGCAGAGAAGAGAGAATAGAGAATAGAAAATAGAGAGAGATATTGTAAAAGTAATATTATTTTATTTATTTTATACTAATTGCATTGAGACATTGTAAAAGTAATAAAACTATGAATTATTATTTATTCAAACTCAAGGACATGCCCAGGTATGGAAAATCTCCCAAGAGTTTATGAAAAATAAAGGGTCTCTTCTCCTAGTTCCAGCTAGCAAAGAATCCAATGTATCTACTGTGGTTCCTTCCACCAACAAAAACACTTAAATGCTATTTGTATGCTAACTCTTTCAAACCATAAAAGCAATACAGAAGTCTCAAAACATGATGAAGCAAAATTGGCCTGTAAATGCAAAGCCAGTACTTAAATCCAAGTGTCTGATGTGTCCCCTGCAAGTCTGAGCAGTAGCTCAAAGCGCAAAAATGATGGAAACTCTCAAACCTTAAACACCTGAAAGACAATTGCTGGCAATCAACTATTTATTACAAAAATTATTAATAAGATCTCTGCATATAAAACTAATATGGGAATGCAGCTACAGCAAAGAGTCGAACTATAAATCGAACAATGGTAAAAAAAAAAAAAGGATTTAAGGATACCTACCAGCTCATTACACCTTCATCCTTTTTCTTATTCCGAGCATTGCATATGCTGTTCACTTAGATCAAAGCTAGTGATATTATTGTTGGGCTAAAAGCTTCTAATCCAATCACACAAGCGGAAGCGAAATTAAATAATAAATCAAACACACAAGAGACAACAATTTAACGTGGTTCGATCTAACTGACCTACATCCACGGATGAGAAACAAGATCCACTAGTTGTAGAGAATTACAAACATACATCATATCATCAACCTCACTCAACAATCAATACTCATAAGACACTCTCAATCTCCTCTAGTCCTATGAAGTATTCTCAACCCAAACAAACACAAATCAAAACTCTTGTGCACCCTTTCAACACAACCAAACACATACCCATATGTTCCCATACATCATACCTATGTGGACCCTCTCAATCTCCTCTAGTCCACTCACAAACAAACATACACACCCATAAGACGTAGAGCCCCAATACTCCTATGGGGTGTTTATCCCACAAAATCCTACAACTCTCTTACATCTTTTTCTCATATCAAACCCTGTAGAGACTTCACCTATTTATAACCATACAAACTTGCCCATTAAGAATCCCTCTCCTCTTAGAATTCTTTGCTTGTAAGTCAAACTTACCTATTAAGAATCCATTTCCTTTTAGAATTCTTCTCTTGCAAGTCAAACTTACCTATTAAGAATCCTCTTTCTCTTAAAATTCTTCTTTTGCAAGTCTTCTTGTCCATCAAGCAATATCTGACAAATCCCAAACAAATCTCTAACAAATCTCAAACAAATTTCTTATGAGATTTGAGTCAATATTCCCAACAATCTCCACCTTGACTCAAATTTCATCAATCATCTGTCTTCATGCTAGACATGCTTGGCTCCACCTGCAATGGAAGTCTTACAATCATCTTTTCTTCTCTTGTGTCTTCACGCTTCATACAAACAATCCTCAATCTTCAAAACTCGAACTCGAACTCTTCTCTTGAATTGAGCTCCTCTAAGTTTATTTCTTCCCATGTCTTAAACCAAGCTTTTCCCATATCTCAAACTATCAACTATTCTCATGTCTCGAACCATCGGCTCTTCCCACATCTTGAATCTTCAACTCTTCTCACGTTTCGAACCTTCAGCTTTGATACCACTTGTTGGGGAACACCACAGCTCTGATACTATTTGTTGAGGATCACCACAGCTCTGATACCATTTGTTGGGCTAAAAGCCTCCAATTCAATCACACCAGCGGAAACGAAATCAAACAATAAATCAAACAATAAATCAAACAAACAAGAGACAATAATTTAACGTGGTTCGGTCTAACTGACCTACATCCACGAATGAGAAATAAGATCCACTAGTTGTAGAGAATTACAAACATACATCAAATCATTAACCTCATTCAACAATCAATACTCATAAGACACTCTCAATCTTCTCTAGTCCTATAGAGTATTCTCAACCCGAACAAACACAAACCCAAACCCTTGTGCACTCTTTCAACATAACCAAATACATACCCATATGCTCCCATACATCATACCTATGTGGACCCTCTCAGTCTCCTCTAGTCCACTCACAAACAAACATACACACCCATAAGACATAGAGTCTCAATACTCCTATACGGTTCTATCCCATAAAACCCTACAACTCTCTTACATCTTTTTCTCATACCTAACCCTATAGAGATTTCACCTATTTATAACCATACAAACTTGCCCATTAAGAATCCTCTCCTCTTAGAATTCTTCTCTTGTAAGTCAAACTTGCCTATTAAGAATCCCTTTTCTTTTAGAATTCTTTTCTTGCAAGTTAAACTTACCTATTAAGAATCATCTTTCTCTTGGAATTCTTCTTTTGCAAGTCTTCTTGTCCATCAAGTAATATCTGACAAATCTCAAACAAATCTCAAACAAATCCCAAACAAATCTTATGGGATTTGAGTCAATATTCCCAACATTCTCCACCTTGACTCAAATTCCATTAATCATCTGTCTTCATGCTAGACATGCTTGGCTCCACCTGCAATGAAAGTCTCACAATCATCTTCTCTTGTGTCTTAACGCTTCATACAAACCAATTCTCAATCTTAAACTCAAACTCTTCTCTTGAATCGAGCTCTTTTGAACTTACTTCTTCCCATGACTCAAACCATGCACTTCTCAAACCTCGAACTTTCAGCTCTTTAACGTCTCGAACCTTCGGCTCTTTCCACATCTTGAATCTTCAACTCTTCTCACGTTTTGAACCTTCAGCTCTGATACCATTTGTTGGGGATCACCATAGCTCTGATACTATTTGTTGAGGATCACCACAGCTCTGATACCATTTGTTGGGCTAAAAGCCTCTAATCCAATCACACAAGCGGAAGCGAAATCAAATAATAAATCAAACACACAAGAGACAACAATTTAACGTGGTTCGATCTAACTGACCTACATCCACGGATGAGAAACAAGATCCACTAGTTGTAGAAAATTACAAACATACATCATATCATCAACCTCACTCAACAATCAATACTCATAAGACACTCTCAATCTCCTCTAGTCCTATGAAGTATTCTCAACCCAAACAAACACAAATCAAAACTCTTGTGCACCCTTTCAACACAACCAAACACATACCCATATGTTTCCATACATCATACCTATGTGGACCCTCTCAATCTCTTCTAGTCCACTCACAAACAAACATACACACCCATAAGACGTAGAGCCCCAATACTCCTATGGGGTGTTTATCCCACAAAATCCTACAACTCTCTTACATCTTTTTCTCATATCAAACCCTGTAGAGACTTCACATATTTATAACCATACAAACTTGCCCATTAAGAATCCCTCTCCTCTTAGAATTCTTCTCTTGTAAGTCAAACTTACCTATTAAGAATCCATTTTCTTTTAGAATTCTTCTCTTGCAAGTCAAACTTACCTATTAAGAATCCTCTTTCTCTTGAAATTCTTCTTTTGCAAGTCTTCTTGTCCATCAAGCAATATCTGACAAATCCCAAATAAATCTCTAACAAATCTCAAACAAATTTCTTATGAGATTTGAGTCAATATTCCCAACAATCTCCACCTTGACTCAAATTTCATCAATCATCTGTCTTCATGCTAGACATGCTTGGCTCCACCTGCAATGGAAGTCTTACAATCATCTTTTCTTCTCTTGTGTCTTCACGCTTCATACAAATAATCCTCAATCTTCAAAACTCGAACTCGAACTCTTCTCTTGAATTGAGCTCCTCTAAGTTTATTTCTTCCCATGTCTTAAACCAAGCTTTTCCCATATCTCAAACTATCAACTATTCTCATGTCTCGAACCATCGGCTCTTCCCACATCTTGAATCTTCAACTCTTCTCACGTTTCGAACCTTCAGCTTTGATACCACTTGTTGGGGAACACCACAGCTCTGATACTATTTGTTGAGGATCACCACAGCTCTGATACCATTTGTTGGGCTAAAAGCCTCCAATTCAATCACACCAGCGGAAACGAAATCAAACAATAAATCAAACAAACAAGAGACAATAATTTAACGTGGTTCGGTCTAACTGACCTACATCCACGAATGAGAAATAAGATCCACTAGTTGTAGAGAATTACAAACATACATCAAATCATTAACCTCATTCAACAATCAATACTCATAAGACACTCTCAATCTTCTCTAGTCTTATAGAGTATTCTCAATCCGAACAAACACAAACCCAAACCCTTGTGCACTCTTTCAATATAACCAAATACATACCCATATGCTCCCATACATCATACCTATGTGGACTCTCTCAGTCTCCTCTAGTCCACTCACAAACAAACAAACATACACACCCATAAGACATAGAGTCTCAATACTCCTATACGGTTCTATCCCATAAAACCCTACAACTCTCTTACATCTTTTTCTCATACCTAACCCTGTAGAGATTTTACCTATTTATAATCATACAAACTTGCCCATTAAGGATCCTCTCCTCTTAAAATTCTTCTCTTGTAAGTCAAACTTGCCTATTAAGAATCTCTTTTCTTTTAGAATTCTTTTCTTGCAAGTTAAACTTACCTATTAAGAATCATCTTTCTCTTTGAATTCTTCTTTTACAAGTCTTCTTGTCCATCAAGCAATATCTGACAAATCTCAAACAAATCTCAAACAAATCCCAAACAAATCTTATGAGATTTGAGTCAATATTCCCAATAATCTCCACCTTG